AAATATTATTATATGTTTTTAATATTATTAACACTTATTTATATTCGATAGATTATTTATTTCAATTAATTTTAATTTATTTGATATAAGAAACTAGCAATCACAATAATTTTTCTATTTATTTTATACGATACACTTAACTTATCATTCTAAAATATTTCAAACTGTTGCAAATTAATTTAAATTACCCTAAATTAATTTGATCTTTTTTTAATTTAAATTTATAAAATATTATTATATAGGGTGAAGTCAATAGAAATAGGACAAATTTATCTGATAAATTTGTCCTATTTCTATTAACTCCACCCCATATATTTTTAATACTATTAATACTTATTTATATTTAATAGATTTATGTATTAATAATTATCAATGTTTGATAGGTTAATGTACTTATATTATTTTTAATGATTTGATATATTTTGAATTAATTTATTATTTAAATATCTTATTTATACTCAAACTTTTTCGAATTATTTCAAAATATCTTACATTATTTTGCATAATTTCTTATGTAATATTTCGTAATATCTTATGTAATATTTTGTAATTTTATATTTTGCAATATTTTGCAATATTTTACATAATATTACACCTTTTTTACAGTTCATAAATTATTTTAAAATATTTTGCTCTATTAATTTTACTGATGTATAATAAGAAGAGGAGAGAGGGAGTACTGTATGTCTCTGATAAAAAAAAATCAGGTGATAAATGACACTGCTCTAATCTGTCATCTCTGTGACATAGGATCTGTTGGTACAGACCTGTTGATATAAACCTATTGACACAGACCCATTAGTACAGACTCATTGGTACAGACCTGTTGATACAAACACAGACCCATTGACACAAAATATTATTCGTTTTTATATAGAGTTCTAAAAGATATAAAAACCATCTTTTTGTCCAAAGCAAGATAAGTTCTGCTAAATCTTAACTTATATTCTTTTAACTATTCTCTAATAAATAAATATTATCTTTTGTTGTTTCTTTTTATTACTTTTTATCATATTCCTTATCCTCTACATGTTAAGTCAAGTGGTATAGGTAATAAGGCTAGTTATCTATGCTACAATATGTAATTTGTTATATTAAACAAATTTTACTTAATAATGAAGTATAGTTTACTTAATAAAAAATTAACTTTTAATACATAGTAGTTATACTAACTAATTTTTCAAAATTACTATTTTCGCATTTGTATAACATTGCACAAAATTTATGATCTTAATTATCTTAAAAAATACTGCATAGAATTTTATAAACTTTTTTTTATTTAAAATATAGATTTAAAGAATTTATAATTTAATTTTTAGCTTAATATTTTATATATTAAGCACTGTATAAATTTTTAAAAAGTGTCCACAATAATATGGTAGACCACTGTATTTAAAAATTTCATGTTATGAAAACCAAGTACTGTTGAACCTCCCTAAATCGATCCGATAACCTGTCAAATCTGATAAAAAATTAGTCTACAAAGTCCGTTTCCATTACAGTATATACTGTAAATCTAATAGTTATAATGTTTTCCAAATCCGATAACCTCTCAAAACTGATACAAAATCGGTCCACCATGCATATCGGTTTGGGGAGGTTCAACAGTAATTAAATTTGTATGGCCTAATATAGGTCTTTAAGAAATTTTCATAGCAAAGCGCTAATTTAGCTGAAAATTATAAATTTTTCATACTCAGTCAAAAAGCCTCATTAATAGTGCTAGTAAGAAGCTAAATTAGCGCTTTTGCTATGAAAATTTCCTGTTAGGGACCTATGTTATTAATAATTTATGCTAAATCTAGAATATTTTGTCGCTTTCGCAAAAATGTAAGGTTTCCGCAAAGTATAATTATTGCTATATAATGATTTTTTTAGCCAGAGTTTAATATTAGATATTGTATTATCGTTATGCATATATTTCTGTATTTAAAAAGAATTTGATAAATTTTACAGTGGGTATTTCTTTGCAGTGAAAATGAATATTTTCCGGATTTTTCGGGTACGATAGAAAAAATTTAAGGAAATATATATTTAATTATTTCCCGGATGCTACGTATTTCCCGAGTTTTAGTTACATAATTCATTGCTAACGTAATCTACAGCATTTTTCATGTGATTGGGTTGGTTAATCGTGATTTGTGATCGCGTAATAATAATTTCATGTTCTGTAAACAGAAATTCTTCGATTTACCGTTACGTTTATACATCCATCATATTTCTTGCATTTTTAAATAAGGTACTATATTAACAATGTCTACAATATCAGGAAAAACAAAATCACCTTCTGAATCGCCAATTCTTAACACACCAAGAATTTCAGCGTCATCAATAAATCCTGCAACTGCTACTCACCCTTCTACACCTCTTCCCTCTAATCATCAAAGATATAAAGATCTCTTAATTTTTGAAGAAAGACTGAAACAAAACTTGCATCAATTACAAAGGCGCAGCTATAAATATGAAGGTAAACACAAAATTTAACCTGTTCGTTAGATCTTTTATTGACTTTTTATTAGCTTTCCTAGGATCGATTTGTTTGTCACTTCCTGTTTTATTATATGCCGTTTTTGTATATAAAAGCGATGTAGGTTCATTTTTCAATTCAGATTCTTTTAAGCTTATTATTCATTAAAAGAAAATAATTTATATTTCGCTCTAGAACCCTACATTTCAGTTTTTTAGTAAACTATTACTTTTCGTTGCCATCATTACTTTGGCCTTGTTTTTCATGAAAAATATCTATTCAGAGAAAGTTAGGGTAGCTTCAAGGTACGTTATAATCTTTCTTAACAAACCAAGCTAATTCTTTCGTATAAATCCTATATTCTATTATCAACGTCATTTTGTTACGAAACGTAGATTCGTACCACAATGTAACCGTGTTTTACGCCAATATAACATGCATTTCAATGTCAATGGTGGTGAAATAGTTTTTTACAAGAAAGTTCCAAAAAAGTTCCAAGAAGGTTTTGAGAGATATCGTCAGATGTATTATACAAAGAAGAATCAGAGGGCAAAAGAAAGAGAAGAAAAAGAAAAAATGGGAAAATGATGCGAAAAAACTATGAAGGAGGTGATATTCGCTAGCGTTTTTTTTTTTTTCTCTTTGGAAGAAAAAAAATTAATAATAAAAATAAATAAACGAGTAATGGATGAAATGAAGTTGTGATGGCGAACTAAAAAAATTAATCAATGGTCAAATCATTTAATGTTACATCCTCCTCCATATGTATTCCGAAAGTCCTAATGGAAGTTCATATATGCGGAATTGAACAAAACAAAAAATTGGATCATGTTATATATGCATTTAGATAAACAAATATGAATGATTTCTCGATTATTCATCGAAAGCAGCGTCCAAATCTTGGGATCGTTTAGTTTGCTCATTGCGTTTTTGATCTCGTTGATCTAATGCAAATATAAATAGTAAATTGAATTACTATATGTATTAATTAAAGTGTAACTAATTATAACAATTTGTACCTCTAGCTGTTCTAAGAATCTGATTTTCTACTTGACGTTGTTCAGGAGATCTAGGAACACGAACACCAAGGGCGCCATGAACGAGACGCTTGGCGACCATATCAGTAGTGACGGGGCGAATACGTTGCGCAGAATTATTAGGATCTATATAATCAATATTGTATAAATAATATGATAATAAAATTAAGAAGTAAAATAGATATTTATTGTACAACTTACTTTTTTGAAGAAAATCCGTGGGACCATCATACGGTTTAATGGTGGCAAGTTGATTAGTGACATTATCCAAATATGCTTTACGTGCTAATTATTAAAGATAACCAATTTTATATATTAATTAATACTTTATATATGAGCCAGCATTGTTTGAGAAGGTACACAAGAAATTACCGGTTGCAGGGTGTTCAAAGATAATTAAAGCACGAGTATCCTCCATCCACTTAATACGGTAACCACCACGCATAGTTTCGTATTCTTGGAAAATTTCATGAAGATGGTGTGTCTTGAAGGATGGAGGGAAATCAAAGATATCAAGAATACGAGTTGATCCTTCGTACGCATCTATGTTAAATATTATAAATCAATGTTAAAAAAATAATTAAAATTATTAATTGAAAAAGAATTTTAAATTAATAAGACATGCCTGGATCAAAATTAAAATCAATTTTGCTGCTTTTGCTTTTTTTATGCCCCTTTTTAAAGCCTGGTGGACGATTATCGGTCCTTTGACCTTCCTTCTGTCTAGTACTCCAATCAAACGGATTCGAAGCGCCATCTACAGGACTGGCAACTGGGCTAGAGACGTCATCCTTAGTCTTCACCTCTCCATTCGCAACATTCTTTTCCCATTCTTCAACATTTTGTTGTCCTTCTTGAGGGATTGTTGATGTGTCGTTAATTTGAATGGTAGGATTGTTATCATTTTCGTTATCACCAATATTGACATTTTCAAGTGAATTAGTAATTTTGGTGATGTCGTCGGAAGCATTGTTTTCACTACCGGATCCACCACTTTCAGAGCCTTGTTGCCCATTGCTATTTCGTCTACTATCAGATTTTGATTTTTTCTTAGCATGACCTTTTGAAGGTTTTTCACCTCCTTTGGGTGGATATTGTCGTAAAACAGTTGCATCAAAATCGCGACCTCTCGGAGCGCGAGAGTTTTGTTGGTCTTGTTGAGTATCACTACCAGGACCACGAAATTTGCCTCGACCTTTTCTAATGACTCCGTTATCTTGGTTTTCAGAAGTGTCATTAATGTTATTATTAGCAAAATCTCCAACCGGAGATAACTCTTCGCCAGTTGAGCCACGTCTTTGTTTAGGAACATAAATTTCGCTTCCGGGTTTTCTACCAAGTATAAATATATTAGTCATCTTAAGTTTTATACTATAGTATCATTTTAATATTTACAAAAGTATAATATTTATATATAAATACCTAGCTTTGTCAGCCCTCGCTGGACTTGTCTCTGGGGAAGCAGTCGAAGAGCCCATTGTGAATCGAATGAGTAGAAATTAAAGAAAGTCTACCTGTTGGATGGTGGAGGGATTTTTAATCTATTTTTCTGGTGAACTTTTGGTAGGTTTCGACCAAGAAAGCCGTTGAGAAACTTTGAACAGAAAAGTGGAGTACAAATATGTGTCTTCCTAGTTACTCACATGTCGCATAGTTGTGACGTTTTCCATTCTTTTATGTATCCATTGTTTGCAATTCAATTGTGTCAAAGCATTGCAAAATCCTACCTAATTGGACTATTGATTTGCAATTCAATCATATCACCATCTTTTAGTTCTTTTGTCACCTCATTCAGGGTCTTTCTTTTACGCCAAATATTCAGATGCACAATTTTGTACCACCTGCTGCAGAAGGAAGTGTTTTATGTTTATTTTGGGCATCTAACGTAAATCGAACTCAATTTTATCAACGGACAACGTTTTGTTGTGAAACAATAAAACAATAACTGCGGAATTAAATGACTTTATGCTAAATTCGGAGAAAAATAGCGACCCCGCAAAAATCTGCATGTCTATATAAAGACTGGAAGCTTCGAAAAATCATTAATGAAATTCATTGTCAAAATGAATCACTTGATATAATTAATGAATATCTGATTGATGCATAATAATATAGACACCTAAAATTATTTTCTTAAAAATAACATTACAAATAATCAACGTATGAATTTTAATTGTACTGTATAATTATAATTTTTGTAAGCGAAAACATCTCGTGATTCATTTAACCGAATTTTGACCACGTGACTTTGCATCACATACTGTAGCATCAAATGATGCATAGACCAATAAGATAACAATCGAAGTACATTAAGATTTTTTGCGTTTCTATATTCACAAATAGTTAGCATTATGGTTAAAAAATAAATTAACATCATGAGAAAATGTTGCTTTACCTTATTTTTCTTTGCATCAATACGAGCCTGAATGTTAGCAGTCCTTTTTTGTTGCCGCTCAGCTTGAGCCTTATCAACCGCTTTAATCCGTTCTTTCCTAAATAAATTATTAATATTGTTGAATATCAGGTTTTCACAAAAAAAAAAGGAATTGTATGCAACCAAAAATCGTACCATGTCTTTTCACTACTTTTCTTTTTAAAATTGATCTTTTTTATAGTTTTCTTTAACAATTTAGGATCATCTTTAATTTTTTTGCCTTGAGCTTTTTGTAAAGCTTTAGACCATGCTTCATTTTCGCGCAACTTTGCAGCCTAATCGCAAAATCGATGTTATTTAAAATTTGAACCATTATCATATCATTTTGAATTATTTACCTTATCAGGATCTTCTTTTTTCAGTTTCTCGAACTTTTCTGCTTTATTTTTTAACTAACATAAAACTTACATTTAATAATTAATCATAAACAAGTTAATGAATGATTGAATCAATACATTACTTTATTCATCAATTGTACGTTATCTAACTTTTTCTTTTTCTTATTATCGTCAAATTCAAATTTGGCATAATGAATACTATTACTACCTCCCGGTAAACCTTGTGTAAAATCATCCTTAACCTCTAACGAATTATTCTCTGTACTAATTTTTATTTTTTTTTGTTTTTCTGCCTTCCTTTCCTTTTTCTGAGAATTTTTGCTTCGATTCTTTCCTTTGCGATTACTTTTGATTGAATTTGAATCTGGTGTATGTTTTGCAAGGCGTAACCGCGCAAGACGTTCAGAAATAGATAAATGTATTGAGGGATTAGAAACATGTTCTGCAGATTTAATTCTCTGTGATGGTGATTGCGCGTCTAAATATTAATTAAATATCAGTAACAAATTTAGCTCATAATCATTCTTCTTATTCTATTTGTCTACCTTCACTATCGGATTTTAATTCGTCACTTTCCTCACTCAATTCGTTGGCTTTCTCCTTGCTAGCCTTTAGCTCATCATTTTTCTCAACTGACTTATCGTCACCTAATTCTTCACTTTCCTCTCTATTTTTCTCCTTATTTTTGCTTAGCTTCTCTAGCTGAATATCAGTTACGGTCTTTAAATTATTGGGATCAAACTATAAAATATATGATTTAAAGGTTATCGGTAAAAGCGAAGATCTAAAGTAATTCGAAGTGTTATAATTGTATATAATTAAAACCTTTAATTTTTTGTTTATTTTCCTTTGCTCATTGAGTACTTTTTTAGAAAACTTTTTTCTTTTGTTATATTGAAATTGTTTGTCTTCGTCATCTGAAATGTTAGGCTAAGTTTTGTCAATTTGATTATTAGCAAAAATATAAATGCATATTCAATAACTTACATAATTTTTAAAGTAATGTTTAGGAGGGATCAAATTTATGACAGAATCAATGAAATCGCTATGAATTTTTATTCTATCCTAAAAAAATTACAATCAACACTAATATAAGAATTAAGTATAGGTTGAATAATAACGATCGATGATTTATTACCCCAAGTCCGTCAAGTGTCCATAGAGTCGCCATTTCAGTAAAGAAAATTCTTTGACCCCGTTTTTTTTTAACGGTCTTAGTCGCTTACATAATAAAATGATTATCGCCATCTCCAATATCAGATATGCGAGCAAAATCAGCAGGCACTCTAAAGCGGGCCTATTTTAAAAATTTCCAAGTAAGAATTTGAAGATCATCGGCCTAAATTAATGCGACAGCTCAGTAATATTGCGGGTCTAAAATATAATCAATATGTATTATCGTACTATCGCTAGGGATGTAATTTTACTCATGTAATTTGTAATTTTGAACTCATTTCTGAGATGGTGATTTGATGAGTTACAATTCGGATAATATATTTAAATCAAATGATGCATAATGTTGGCCGTTCATTCGTAAAGCTGGTATTTCATAAAAATTACATGAAATCTTATTTACTGAGATTTACGTAAAATTACATGTATTGTAAAATTGTAATTTATGTAACACAACCCTAACTATCGCACATGAAGGACCCCTTTTCACTATAATTTACAACTACGAAGAGCATATAATAAAGTGCTCAAATCTTTAATTACGTACGTATATACGTACATACCGGAATTACGATCATTTATCTTGCAAAGATAAAAATTTTACAATAAAGCTTCATGGTATTAGACAAGGATAAATAAACACGTGAATATAGGCACTTTGATTACATCGTTAATTAACATCAATTTATAAACATAATTAGATTATGTATGGTGTAAAAACCACGTCCAAGCTATGTACTAAGCTAGAATCTGCTAAAATGATGGAAATGGTCACGTCTCATTTTAATAATAATAATATGTATACAGAACTTCCTACTAAGTCATTCTATGCAAATAATTTCGCCAAAGAATATACCAATAATTGTGGTAACCTTTTAGGTCTTTCAATTATTCTTCCTCATCCATTGGCAAATCAGCAGGCTTTACAAGTCCTGGAATTTTCAATGCATTTTCCATCGCCGTTTTCTTCTGAAGCTCAGCTTCAGCTTCTCGTTCTTCTAGATACAAGTCAGCATTATCCCCAGCAAATTCTTTAAGCTGAATTAGAAAGTCACGCAAGTGCAATTTAAATTTGGCAAAGTCTTGATTCAGTTCGAAAAGACCCATAACAAAATGTTGAACTTGATTGCTAATAATAAAATATGGTAGAATCAGATTTGAATAAAACCAATACAATTAATTAATGCTATACTAACGTTTGTAAGTGAGGGAACGCATTTTGTAATAAATTCATAACATATTCCCTCAAAAATCTCTGATTCGTCATAGATGGATCTGTCACTTCGGTTGGATTAAACAATGGAGCCTGTACTGCGCCAGATTCCACAAGAGTAAATATTCGTTGAAGTACAGAACATTGCATTTTAAATCCTTTTAAAAGTCAAACAATAAGCTATAAATGATCAACAAAAAAAAAAAAAAAAAAAAAAAAAAAACCCCCCCCCGAAAAATAATACGTACCACTTTTATGATCTGTATCAGTCAAAACGAAAAACACGTCTTGTAAAAGATTAAGGAAATACTGGCCATAAAATACGTTTGAAGTTGCTGGATCTTGTAATGATATATTATTAATCAATTCTAAACAAATGTTTAAACCAGTATCGGCAATATCGCGCATCGTGTGTTTAAAGGCCCAAACAATACTATCCATTATAAGTTTAAACTGTGTTGGTGGTAAAGTTAACAAAGCTAAAAGGGATAGTTTAGTAATGATAAATTGAGCGATCAAGATAGATTGTAATGATTAAAGAACAACTCGTACCAGGAAAACAATGCTGATTGATTGCTCTAAGAAGTTTAAAGAATCCAACACGGTGTTCTGGATACTCAGAAAAATCTTTATTAATCATATTTAACGTGCATTCAAATACCGCATTAAGAATGGCTGGGACTTCATTTGTAATTCCGGCCTGTTAAAAAATCATCCACATATAAATAATTGGATCTATTATCAACTATTAATTGGAGATCATATTAAATAAACATACTCCAAGTTTCGTAATTATAGTGGCCATTGAACTTAACACTTCAGCATCCCTAGCTTGTTCAACATTGGTATTATAATCAATTAGAACTGCAGACAGCAGTGGTGGCATCAGGTGCGTTATGATTGTGCTTGTTTCTTCCGCTTTAGTTATATAAACCTCCATTAATTTAAGTGTTTCCTTCTTAATTACTCTTAAATTACGCACACGAGGAGTTTTTGTAGCAATTTGACCTAACATAGCAATAAAATTCAAAGTTAGGATCAGAATTTATAAATGTACTATATACCTAATTTTTACCTTCTCTGTCGACAGTGTCTGATATTATTTGGCTAACTGCTTTGTACAGTTCTAGTAAATTTACATAAATACGGGCAATTTGAACGGAAAAGCCACTACCAACAGCGGTACAAGCAGCAACGTTTGTTCTCAACACATGTCCCAGAATCTTGGTGTTCTCCGGAACATTAAGGGCATCCAAATTTTGACTTACTTGGGCCAATATACGATCCCACTAAAAAATGTTCAATTAGTAAGCATAAATTTCATTAGTAATGGGCAATAAATTGCTGTTGCATTGTGTATCATACCCCAGCGTTTGGGAGTTCCATATACATGATCACCAAACGTTCTTGAATCTGTTTTGTCGTTTGTGCTGAGATCATATAACCAACAGCTTCATAAAATGTTTGAACCTATAGAATATGTTTGCAAAAAATTAATTTTCGAATAAATTAAACGATAGAATTAAGTCTTTTAAGAAAAATCTTACTTGTTGAGGAGACAAATCTTTTGTTATATTTTCGATAGTATTGAGAATCTCTTCTATGAAAGGACAACTTTCGCCTTGTTGTTGCGTGACGAATTGACGACGACACTTTTGGGCAATTTTTATAAAAGTGTCACAAGCCATATCTTGTACACCTACATATAAAAAATGAGGTTAAAAAAGATAATTATAATAATGTATTTTATTGATAATTTTATATATATATTACCTTCATGCGTTTCGTGCATGAACTCAAAGAGTTTATTAACAACGGTTTTCAAGAACTTCCAATGTGCTTTAAGAAATCGAGGATATTGACCAACGATGTACATTATATTGGAGGCAACCACAGCCTTATTGTCTTTTCCACGTTTCTGTTCACAAAGACCCAAAAGTTCTTTGATAACCGTTACCAAAAACCTTTTTTCGGTGTCCTCATCTATACAAGTTACGAAGTTAGATGAAGGATAATAATGGTATAAAGCAAATCTCGGCTTTGATGGTGAGACAAATATTATTTGGTAGGATCATCATACTCATTGCACCGGATATGGATCCAATTGCCCAACAAAGTTTGTTTAAGTTATTCCAAGACCATTCACTCCCGTCAACCTTTTTGTGATAGTTATTAAATTAATGTCTTAAAATTATGTCAAGTAAATAAAATTGATCATGAAATTTCACCTGTTTATTTAATTTATTTGTCATAATATTTTCTGCATCTTGAACATCTAAATGCGTCAGATAAACTAAACACTCTCGCATGCTTTTATATAATGTGATGGTATCACTATCTTTCATGAATTCTCGAACAATTTCTCCTTCTTCATTTTCAACAATTAGAACCTATATATAATAGGCATAGACTATTAATATAAAAACATAATTGATGAAAATAAAATAAATTTACATACCTCTTCAGGCTTAACCATACGATCTATCATTATAACCCGCAAGTTGGATAAGATTTCAGCATACATATACTTCCTTGGTGTAATATTTGCAAGGGAAGATTGAGGAGACGTTGCACCAGACAGAGAAAGCAAAGGCATTTCAAGAACAGAAAGTTGCTGTGTTTCCTCGTATAATTCAGCAACCTATAATGCATCATCATCAATATCTTAATATATAAATATATAAATATAAATAAATAAATATGCATATATATATATGTAACCAATAGGCATCTTACCAGCTTAGTCCAGTATTCTAAGCACACTTTGAAAATTTCGCGTTCTTCAACTTGAGAGATTCTAAGAAGATAATAATGTGCAGTTAAAAGGCCGTTGCTATTTGGTTGTGCTTCCATAATCTACGTAAACAGCTCAATATATTTAGTTATAGTAACAATAATTATTATTCTCTAACAAATTTGAAGCTTATACCTTTAAGTGAGCACTCAAAAAGCTAGTTAAGAATAATGCTAAATTCTGAACAAATTCTTGTTCTTCATTTGAGCTATTATTATAAATCATTGCGAAATCTGTCGAAAAAAGTAAATAATCAGAAAGCTTGCAGTAGAATAAATTAATATATTCACTTCAACAAAATTAACAAATAAAATACCGGCTGAAATTGGTATCATCGAGGTGAGTGATGCTACAACCATATTGAATAAAGAGACGAATTTATCATCATATTCATTGGTTACACTTAATGCACCAATTTCAGTGAGACATTTCAATGTCACATTTCTATATTCAGAAGATTCTAAGAACTATAAAAGCATCAAACATTGAATCAACATTGAATTATTATTAAATAAATTAAATTGTCAAATAAACTCTCGAAATTATTGAAAGTACAAACCCTAGTTCGCAAATTTTCGATAATATTGGTCTCAAAGATATACCCTAATGGAATCCAATTTAAAAACCTTAGCAAGGTTTCTAACGTAGCTTTAATTAAAGATGGTTGATGCGCTCTCTCTAATACTTCATTACATAATTCAAATATTTTAGAGAATTCATGACACATCTGAGTTTTCAAATTTTTGGTTTTGAGTTGTGTCATCTGTTCAGCCGAATAATCGAAAATTTCCTCGCTATAATCGTAAAATAAAGACAACAGAATATAAAAAAAAAAAAAAAAAAAAAAAAAAAAAAAGGAAACAGATAATAAGACCAATAGTAAATTGAAAATTTATCATACCATCATTACCATACCTTAATAATTTAAGAATTGCCATGTTGTTCTCACAAATATTCAAGTTAGAACGTCCGGTGCTTACAATCTCGGGAA